GGGTTAATAAAGCTTTCAGAAAATCTCATTTATTTAAAAATCACACACTGTGGGGTAAAATGGGGGAGAAATGATTTTTTTTAGAAAAAATAGCAAATAAACATATTTCTGTATCACTAGAAAATAACTGGAAAATTTTCAGAGTATATTTCAATAGTTAATTGTTTGATATAATGTATTTTGTTGGGTTTTCACAGTATATTTACTGAAAGTAAGTGTAAGGCTTATATTATAAATAAGAGATGCTGAATGAGATATTTGCTCGATGATGCATCTAATATAGCTCAAAAAGATAGTACGCTATTTTCCATCGTAATAACTAGATGTGATAGAATCGCCTTTTTGTTTGGATTTTTATTTATATAGTCCAGTCATTTGAGCTTAAATTATGTAAGAATCTCAGAATTCGAAATACCCAGCTGTAAGTCTGTAAATTGTTGTATATTGACATTTAAAAGTTGTCTGAAAACCTACCTATGTGCTCATATATTTCATTATCAAGATCACACTCAATGTAGACAACGTCATAATACATGATCACATGTCTAGCAATTTAGTAACAGTATTATATCGGAAAAATTTGTGAATGATAAATTATAGTAGATGTATATATACATTACACTGTGAGTCATTAATATTCTATATATTAATTTTAATAATACATAAAATCATATTTTTTCAGATGTCTTATATGAATTTGGATACTCTTCATATTTAAAACAGTTTTGTCATAATTTAAGAAGTTTCGAAAAAAATATGTGTTATATAAGGTATTTACATAATTCATCGACGGTATTTACATAATTCATCGGTACGTACACCTTTCCATATGTAGGTTTTGAGACAACTTTTAAATGTCAATGTCTAAGTATTTACAGACTTACAGCTGGGTATCTCGAATTCTGAGGTAAACTTACTATAATGATATAACACAGAAACGCGTGAGCAGGCACAGCTAGAAAATTATAAAAAATTGACATTTGTTGAATTATCAAAACATTATGTAGAAAAAAAATATTGAGTAAAAATATATATAGCAAACCATGGACAACAAAAGCAAAAAAAAATTGTATTTATATTTTTTTAATAATTTAAAATATTTTTTTAAATTCATAAATATGTTCAAATTTTGTATTTTGGCTATTCCTTATTTGTTATACGTATCTTGTATGTAGTCTATTACCCGTTTCCCCGGTCTCCGCTATCCATCCTCGATAAAGGGTAGTTCGTGGGGTTAGTTACGTGCGTTTTCCTTTACAGAGAGAGACTGACGCCCTGCCGCCCTTTCGCCCTTACCCTTTCATGCGAGTTACACGCTTCACGATCTGTGACCTAACATGCGGACTAATGTCAATGCGCGATAGCCCTACAGACAAACTACTACTAATACTAATTCTAATAAACTGACTAAAAACTGAAAAGGGGCCACCAGTGCGATAAATGGAAACAAATTTTTAAAAGAAAAATAATCAAACAAATTGAACTAGTAGTGAATTGCATCGTGCCTCAAGGCTAACTGTAGAAACTTTGCGTACTGATTTTTTTTTTAAACTTTTGAAAACTGAAATAAATGATTTCTGAGGATTTTGAAGTTTTTGGAACATATTGACTTTTTTGAAGTTTTTGGAACATATTGACTTTTTTGAATTTTTTTTATGATTAATTTTTATTTTTTGAAAATGTTGAACGTTTGTTCAAAGCAATCATGCCTGCGTAGCGTTTAAATTTTATATAAGCTAATAAATTAATTTTTGTTTTTCACTAATACTAATACTTTACTAATACTATTACTAATAGTAATGCTAAACTGACTAAAAACTGAAAAGGGGCCACCAGTGAGGCAAATGGAAACAAAATTTAAAGGAAAAATATGATCAAAAATAAACTAGTGGTGCGTTGCATCGCCTAAAGGCTAATTTCAGAAACTTTTCGTACTGAAAATTAATTTTTTTAAAAAACTTTATGAAAACTAAAATATATGATTTTTGAGGAATCTGAAATTTTTGGAAAATATTGATTTTTTTAAAAAAATTTATGATTATTTTTTTTGAAAATTTTGAACGTTTGTTCAAGGCAATCACGCCGCGTAAGGTTTAAATTTTATATAAGCTAATAAATTAATTTTTGTTTTCCACTGATTTTTTTTTCAATGCAAGAACTATTCACAAAGAAATAGCTACACTAGCACAATGATCTAAGACATTTATATCGATACGTGTTTAATGTAATAGACACATTTGGAAATTATATAATAAAAATATAAATAAATTTGTATATAGTTTATAATAAATATTTGAAGTTGCTTAGATAAAATTGTTTGAATATTTTTTGTTTTGCCTAAAAATTTCTATTAGCAATTTGAATTAATTTCTTTGTATATATATATATATATATATATATGTGTGTGTGTGTGTGTATGTATATATGTATGTATATATAATTATAAAAATTCATTTAAAAAGTTGACAACTATTTGATTAACTAACTTGTTGATATAAGTTAAATTCGTACACAGAAATATTTGGAAACGTTTCTCTTTATATATATATATATATATATATATATATATATATATATATATATATATATATAAAGTAAGTATTGCAGAATCGATGTTAATAGCCCATACAAGTAACACAGTAAATTTACGGACAGATACCAATATATTACATGATACATACCTGAATCTCATTCATACTTTGTAGCTTATATATAGATGTACATACACTTTTAATTATAACAATGTATAACAAATCTTATAAACAAACCATCTCATCATAGAATATTTTTTCTCCTAACGACATCTATTTTTCAACTGGACCCTAATCCTTTTTTTCCTATCTGATCGAGTGACTTTACAATTTCAAGTGGTTTTCAAGTAGGAGAGAATACGAATACCGAAGACAGTGGTATTAAAAGAGCAACGTGCAGTGAACGACTTGTAATGAAAAACACAACATGCTAATTTATATTTCCATATTTTAAAATTTTTTTAATTATAACACACTGATGATGAGACAAACCTAGTCTCGAAACGTTTGTGAAAATTATTATTTAATAAATTAGTGCAAAAAGAGTGTTGTTTGTTCATATATATATATATATATATATACGGAAGAAATAAAAATCGTTACCAAAATCTTTACCAAACTCAAAACGTATACTAAAAATGTAGAAAAGAGTAAAGTACCTACTGTATTGACAAGGACAGTCATTACAAAATCCAATTCAATTTCATTATTTATTTAACATATTTTTTTATTTTTATTACCAAATATTTAAGCAAATAAAAATGCAATATTTTGTAATAGTAATATTTTTTACATCTCTGTTTCTAAAACTTTCAAGCACTGCCTATAATACAGAACACGTGTTCCGACACGCCCAAACGACTTAATCCTAAATGATTCGGCTATTGAAACATACTGGGACAATGTAAGCGAAAAAATTGCTTTATTATAGACTATTACCCCTTTTCTGATTACTTTGACATATTTAGATCTAGATGATGTCATTGAATTTTTTTGGAAAAATAGACAATTGCAGATGATTGTGTACGTGCATAAATTATGTATGATTTTTAATTTAAAAAAAAAAGTGATTAAAATAGAACAATTGAGGGCATGAATAATGATTCTTGTATATGGGTCATTCTTTTACAAAACGCACTGATTTTCGGAAAATAAAATGTCACATTTTAGATTTTTTTTCAGATATACATAAAATCATTTGACAGGTATTTCAAGATTTTGCTAAGTACGCTGCTAATTAAGTACATATATGTACTAATAATTTTAATTTTATATTCTATAATTCTAAATTATATAAAAGAACATATACACAACATAAACCTTATAAAATAGATAAAAGAAAAAACTTACGACTAAATTTTTTTGAAACCAAAGAACTATCACTACTATTTTTGTTTAAATGCTTCCTGACCGCACGACCTAATTTTAGTACCTATGATTTTTATATAAAACATTTCTAAATTATATTTATTAATAATTATACAAATGAATTTATACTTTATATATTACTTCTAGGTAATTGATGTTCAAAATATTCTACAAATAGAATGGTTAGTTTTTTCATCTTCTAGCCAATAATTTAAATTTATACCAAGTCATTAAGGTCTAAGTCTAAGGCTTCCAAAATAGAATGTGTATCATCAATAACCCGATATTTGCGAACCCGGGTTTGCGATAGACGATTATCCTCAAGCAAAACTATCTTGGGCCTATCAATCGAAAATCTTCAATCAACTGAAATTCACTCTCAAACTGACCGAAATCTATTTGAAGTTTCAGTAGAGGGTCACTTTGTTAAATCGCCCTAAATTTGTATAAAAAAAATTGATGAAAAGAGCTAGATATATGGAGGCCTACATTGAATAGAGGTGAAAAATGTGGGATAGAAATTCCTAATTCTATCCTGACATCGGCCAACTTGGTATCAAGCAGTACAATATCAAATTTTCCCTTGAGGTTATGAATCTCGAATATGGATACAAGTAAAAATTGCCTTTTGTGGGCATTGCTAAAAATTTCATGGCAATTGCTAAAAAAATATGAAGCTAAATTGTTAAAATGTGAAGTCAAATATTGTTAAGTATGGTAAAATTTGTCACAACTAGCCTAGGATAGCTTTTGGGTTGCCTTCCATACATATAGGAAAATTAAGAAATGTTTTCGTTCACAAATAAAGTGATCATAAATAAAGTAAAAATAAATAAATTAAAAAAAAATACGTATAAATATGAATAAACATTATTGCAAATGTCTCAGAATTTACATAAATATTATTACACTTTACGAATATTTTCAAATTGTTCTTCGTATTGCAAGCCCAATTTTCATTTCACAATATTGTTTATTTTGAAATTATTTATTGAACAAAAACAAAAATATCCAAATAGTATATATACATAAACCAATGGGCTTATCCAAAAATTCCATAATCCAAAATATTTTTATTCAATAAGCGACATTTGACTAAAAATGAAGCAAACATCATTAAATATCACGGTTTTAGCAGTCTTAATTGCATTTGTTGCAATTCAAGAAACTACTGCCGATCTTAAGAGAAATGATAAAGAACCTGGCAATACGAGAAAAATAAGAGAAGTTATGGATAAATTAAGAAAACAAGGTAGGGTCTTATAATACAGATTCTAACGATTTTACATTACAAGAATATATTTTATATAATATATTTGTATGATTAGCACAACCTAGAACTGATGGACAACGTCCGAAAACTACCATAATGAGTGAACTTCTAAAGCAAAAAATAAGTTGCAAAGAAGTGAAAGCAGCTAAATTAGAAAGTGCTGTTTGTGCTTATGATTGCAGTCAACATGAAAACACTGGAATTAATTGTGAAGGAAATGCGTGTAAATGCCCCAAGTAACCTTAAAGCACCAAAAAAATGCTTGACGCATTACTAAAAAAATATTTATAAATTTTAAAAATAGACTAATAAAATAAAATTAATAAATCGAAATTTAATACGCTCTTCAATAAGTAAACTTGAAACAAGTAAATATTTATTTATAATATTGATAATATGAATCATGCATCACTGTATGCCGATATTTTTAAATTATTAACTCAAATCATATACATTTTTATTTTTTATTAATTATTAAAATTATAATAAATGTTACTAAAATATTACAAGAAACAAAATGTAATAAAATTATTATTTCAAAATTGAGTACTCATTATTTATTTGAGAGTAAGTTAACATTGCCAATAACTGTTTTATTAATTAGTGAGGTTAAAACAAATAAACTAAATATCCAAATCGTTCCCAAATTTCATCTCTCCCAAACAGGTGTCGATTCACTTGACGCCTCTATACCTCTATATACCTCGCCTCCGATTTATCCCCATCGCTTTGCAAAACAAATCGTCAAAATGCGCAACCGAATCGTTCCCTTCTGTCCCTTTCCCTTTGCCCTTACCCAGTTGTTCCCTTCAATTCGACACCGGCGTGAACTGTATCCATTCATCCCTAAAACCATCATCCCTTGCGGCCGCGTTTAGCCCTCGAAGGGAGCCAAATATACTGACTCTACGTAGTAGGATAATACAAATATCCGACGATGAAATAAAACTGAACTAGATGGGGATGATGATGAACAAGAATAGTAATTGATTATTTATTTATTTGGGGATTTAGAAATAATTTACTCAAATTTAAAAAATAGTATTAGAATTTTTTATATCACTTTCTTTGGTTTAAAACATTGATCTATATAGATTCTAGTCAGTATCTATTTTACTCGTACTACATTATATCATATATATTATGAACTAGCTGACCCGGCAAACGTTGTTTTGCTAAGTAAGGTATATTCTAAATAATTTGTAGACAATCAAAAAAATTAATACTTTAAGTGTATAAGGATGTGTTGTGTCAATGATATGTACAATGAGGTGTTATAAAAACAATAAACCCCATTAGTTTGTCTATATTTTGTCAATACAATCAAACTGGAAGTTTTATACACCATCTATAGAAAACATGGTATAATACAATCCAAGTCTTTTTTGGTCTTTCGACTTATTGATTACGTTTCAAGTTTTTCAGATTCTTTTTGGATTCTGCATTTTGTAGTATAATTGTAAATAATACTACCGAGCTTAAACAAAATTTTTAAATTTCTGCGAGGAGAGATAGAAAATGAATTAAGTATTTTTTCTTTGACCTGCTTTTTAAAAAGTTTCAAGTAACATTCGATTAATTAAAGTAAATTTAATAAAAAGTATATATGTAGAGCAGGGCAAGGCACAAAGGTCCAATTTGACTTTGAGCAAATATAAACTATAATGTGAAAATCATAACAAATATATCACAACAAATAACACATATCAAACAAACAATTATCTGACTACGTTCAGTAAACTGCCTTCTACTTCATTTTTGTAGAAGTGTGCTTTTTTGATGTCTTTCAAAAATGTGTTATTTGAAAATTATGTTGTTACTTGAAACGGGCAGGTGGCAGAAATGTTTAAAGCCTTATTATTATTTTGAAGGTATTATACAAAATAATTACATTTTTACCTAATGTTAAAAAACTAGCAACAGAAGAAAATACTTTCATTATGGATTTTCAAAGATTACCGTTAATCTCCCCCATTTCAAAGATTACCATTTTTAAATCAAGGTTATAGCTGGTTATACATCTTTTTCCCTCTAATTTCAAATATTGTTCTTAAACAATGCTTAACTTTACTGGTTTTTGACACATCGGCGATGGACCTTTTTAACCCCAGACCTTCATATATTACCATCTATTCTTCGATAAATTCTGGGAAATTATAACTGGGAAAATGTTGTTCGACAAAATGTCCATTTGATCGATACCAAATTTAGGTTCTGAATTTAAATAACATAAATAAAAAATAATATAACCTAGAAAATGTTTTATCATAATTAAATAATATTCACGTAAAATATCCTATTGAACGTAATTGAACATCATTCTGTCAAAAACGTTTGACATTTGACGAATTAGCAACCGTCCATTGTTTTATTTAGATTATGCTCCTACAAAAATTTTCAAATTAAAAATGTAAAGTTTCTACGCGGATTTGAAATAATTTCTCTGGATATTTGCGGATTGGACTTTCTCTGGATTTGCACGAATTTTTTAAGACTAAGACTGGCCAAATCGGTTTAGCGTATATAGTTTTCGAGTTTTACTTAGACATTTGAAAGAGAGCTCCATTTTTATATATAAGATTATAGTTTATATATCTATAGTTTATATTTTTCCTCTGTGTCGATTATCATTTTTCTCAATCACAAGGCTAGGGTGTAAGTCTTCATCCCTTAGGTAATAATAATCGGGATGAATTGAGAGCGAGAAGGGTCTGAAAATCCAGCCCCTGTAATTAACATGTTACTGTTCGTACGAGCAAAGTTCGGGGCGAAAAAGGCGTGAAAAAAAATCGTCAGGAGTAATACAACAAAGGGCGATTGTAAAAGAAAAGCCAGCCGCGAATTGATGATTGGTTTCGATAGAAAAATATTAACGTATGTCGGGTTTAAATCCACCAAAAAGGATAAAGAAAACACCTGATTCAGGGGTAATTGGGAATTTTAAAATTGGGTGTTTTTCCGTGGAGTGTTTCGGGATTTTGTGTCTTTGATTAATTTTCCGCATTTTATGTTTGTAGTACAGAAACCTAAATGTAGGCCGTATTCAAGTAATGGATTATTTATGTATTTATCTAAACACCGTAGATTGAGATCTAGATTTTTTGCTAATTTGATTTAAAAAACTTACTAGTGTAATAACTAGATAAAAAGAGTAAATAGATTATAATGCCTTGAAAAAAAATTAAAAGTTATTTGAATAAAAGTAAAAAATGTTGTGAACATTATGAAAATTTCAAAGTCCGTAATTCGAGTATGATTTCTTCATAATTTCAATATCCAAGTGTATATAATAGTTTTCACTAGATTTTAGTAAATTTTATCTAGTTTTCATCAATGTGAACAAATTATAATGCCCGAACTAATATGTTATTTAAAAAAAAGTAAAAAAACGACTAATATCCATTAATTGCATATGATGGAAATACTAAAGTTCGTAATTCAAGTACGATTTCTTCTTAATTTCTATATAAAGGTGTATATAACAATTTTTGATAGATTTTAGTAAATTTTATCTTATTAAATTCTGTAATTCAAGTACGATTTCTTCATAATTTCTATATTAAGGTGTATAAAACAGTTTTAACTAGATTGTAACTAATTTTATCAAGTTTTATTTTATGTCAAAAAATTACAATCATTTTATCAAAATTTAGTTTAAAATCATAATGCTACAATTATTTTATCAAAAACTTCCGAAACTTCTATCAATAAAATATGGTTATGAGAGCAGATAAAATATTATAAAAAATTTATTTAAAACAGTTAAAAATAAGCCTATTCAAATCATAAACGACATTTTGCAAAAGTCATACATTTTATTGCATACGACGTTCAACAGATTTTTTACTAATTTTATTTGAAAAAAATTATATGAAGGTGTGAAAAGTAATTAATGGCGTTAAATGCATAATAAATTTTACTTCGAATTTGTATACAATGATATATAATTTTTTTGACAATATTTACGAGAATTTTAGCATTAAAAATGAAGATATTCATTTCATTGGATTTCACCCACTATTCCATCAATAAGTAAGTTCAGCGCTTACAAAATTGCATTTTGCAGAAAATTTTTCAAGAGAACTGAATAAATGATAAATGGCGTTGAATAGCTAATAATATTTCAAATAATTCTCTATATGACAATATATACATTCTTTAACAAAATTGATGGGAATTTTAGCATCAAAGATGAGGATGAGCATTTGAGTTCAGTGAGTGTGCTCTTTTTTAATGAATAGCATTCTTCAAAAAAATTTTATATGAAAATATAAACAGTAATTAATGGCATTAAAAATTATAAAATAAGTAATTTTACAAGATTTTTTTAATTAAGTTACAACAATATTATTAAAATTCTGTAACATATTATATAAAACGGCTGTATTAAAAATCTGCGACAAATCGCTATACTATATTATATAAATAGATAAAAAATGATAAAAATATTATTTTGAAATAAATATAGAAAATGCAAGTGATAAATAAAATACAAAATAAACATAAAAATAAGTAATTTAGAAGTGATAATTATAATTATGGTATTACCATTGTCTAATTAATTTTTCTAATTAATATATATATATATATATATATATAAATAAATAATTTATATATATATATATATCTTTATATTTTATATCTATATCTATATATATATATATCTATATATCTCGTTCGATATCCGTCTATATATATATATCTCTATATATATACAGTGTGTAATACCAAATAACATTTTTGCCTAATTTACATAACGCTCTCAATGCATCTGTGTAAATAAATGCACCTGCCAACAAATTGTCATAGGTTTTTTCCACAATTGGAAAATGTTATTGTAAATATTTATTTGCCTCATAATACAAAAAAAATATATAGGGATGCTTGGTTCCCGAATTATTATTCATTTCTAATTATATCATAATATTTCGATAATTGTGTGTCTTCCCAAATGCATTCGAATAACAATCAACACTTGCCGTATCATGTAGTGCCCACATGTGCAATGAAGTGCAATCGTAAACATGTGACAAATAATACGCCTTGATTTATAAACTTCAATATACAATATGGAACAAAATCACACCCCTGCTAATAAATTCGTTCCAGTTCTATAAATGATTATTGTGGTGCCGAAACGGGGGCAACATTTATATGTTGTTATTACCTCTCGGCGTCTAAATTACCCTCATTTATAAATATTCAGTGTAAACATATGGTATTATTTTTATTTTTTCAGAACAAACAT